AAAGTTTCATTGAAATCGGAGGGGGACAGTTGGGGATGTTCCCTCGTCAGTTTAAGGGGACCCCCCCCCTTTCCCGGGTTTCTCGGAAACGGCAAGGCGGAACTTCTTGAAATTTTCAGGGTGAATAGATCTCGAGTAGTGGAGCAAAAGTTGTAGCGGACACAAATTTCTCAGACCCCCCCCTTCATGGACTTTTGGAGACCCCTAGGTTCAAAAATAGCATAAAGTTTTTCCCTCGGCAAATCCACAGATTTCAATATTTTGAGTTGAAAATTTTACTGTGGCTAGCAGACCTAAATCGGGGTGCCGCTTTTTTTTTTGAAAATTTCCTAAAACTTTAGGCAGGAGAGCCAAAATACTGAAGACCTCGAAAAATCTGTAGCATTTTAGGATCACGAAAATTTTGCAAACCCTGCCAAATTTTATTGGTAAGAGCTATCGGCAAAAAAACAAAGCGGCACTTCAAATCAGTTGAAGCCAGGCCTGCCAAGTGTACCTCATTTTAGGGTATTGTACCCCATTTCGACACTTCGTACCTCGAAAAAAGGATATACCCCAGGGGTACACTTTTTGTACCCCATTTGTATTTTTGAGTTTTTGATATCGTAAACCGATCCTCCTTGTTTTTTCTAAGCCATTACTTCATTGTGTTATGTTATTTTTGTTGTGAAAATCATGAAATAAGGTCCATATCGAACAGATAACAGCAAAATATTAAGTTGCTTTTAACGCCTCCCCAGGTCAAAAAAAAACTTTTTTTTCAAAAATACCGATTTTGAGAGTCATTTAGATTTACATATCCTATCATTTACACTGTCGAATAGACTATACCTTATCGATTTTGCAGTAATTTTTGAAGGTTTTCCAGTAGGTTTTCTGAAAAACCTATATGAAACTTTCTTTTTCGAAAACTTTAATTATTGAAGCTATTTGAAGTATTCTCGAAACTGTTTTTTATTGTTTTATTTATCAGCGCGACAAAGATTTCTCCACCATTTTGAATGCTAGGGAATCCGAAAAGGTCTTAAAATGAAGGTAAAGCTCAGCGCTACAGCCTAACAGAGCCAGAATTTTTATTTTCCATTTAGTTGTTTATGAAAAAGTCCACTTCTCTAAAAAGTTAACCTCGATATTTTTTCCTCAAAAACCTTTCTAAAAAAACCGGCTCTGTTAGGTTGTACCGGCAAGGGTGTTTGTACATTTTGACACCATCCCGAGGTCCATATCTTTAGAGTTGCGAAAAAAATCTTCGACACACGGACACCTACTTTTAACCCCTTAATATTAGGATAACCCTCGCAAAACTCAATATTATGAGCTCAATTTTTTAATGAAAAATATCCAAAGCCAGATACATATTCAATAAAAATTTCAATAAGATTAAGTACTCTGGAAAAAAAATAGATTTTTGACTCGAGAGGGAGGGCCCTTAAGGAGAATAAGTTTTCAGGTAGTATTTTTTCAACCAGTTCTTTTCTTTTAAAAAAATCTGCGTACCTCAACGGTGGGCCCCATTTTAACAAAATTTGTACCCCAACCGTACCCCATTTGAAATTGGGCGTAACACATTTAGGAGCTAGCACTTGGCAAGCCTGGTTGAAGCCCCCCCCAAAAAAAAAATTTTCAGCCCGATCGGACTTAAAATGGCTGAAATAATGGGGCTAAAACTTTTTTTGGCATTCAAAAATCAAGTTTCGGGAAAAATGCAAAATACAAAAAAGTTTTAGAAAATTTACTTTTTTTCAGTTAAACGCTAGGTTGTTTGCTAATTTTCAGGTGCAAAGGGTAATTTGGCATGGAGAATCCAAATCTGAAGTCAGTTTTAATTAATTAATTGATTAGTTATGCTTAATTAATTAATTAATTATGCTTAATTAACGTTTTTTCACGAAAATTGAAACAACTCAGATTAGAACGGGGAACGTGAATCTGATGTCAGATTTAATTGATTATTATTTATTAATTAATTAGAAAAAGGAATCAAACGTTCCGATGAAACATTATTAGCAATAAAAGCATAAAAATTAAACAAAAACTGGTTTTTGTCACATATTTTGCCAAAAACCCTCGTTTTTCAGAGATCTATCGACCATGGATGGTTCTGATTTTGATAGTAGAAATATAGCACAAAACAATATAACTTTTATTAAAATAAGAAAAAAAAAAAACTTTTTTCGTAGGTATCCAAAAAACCTGGCTTTTCAGGGACTTTGGAGAGGTCTGATTTTTATACCACACCTAGAGGGGACCTTGATACACCTGCACACTAAATAAAAAGAAAATCTAAAAAAAAAATTTTAGCTCGGGAAAGGGTGGGTTCCCTTAATTATCTTTTATTTTTACACAAAAACATTAAATCATCGTCATTCATAAAAATTCGTCTTTTAGATATTTTGATTCAAATTATTATCAGTGGTTACAATTCTATAAAATAATAAATTATTTTCAGATAACTTTGATATTAATAAATAATCATTGCGAACAGTTTTATTTCTATTTAACAAAAATTAAAGAAATTCATAAAAAATATTTATCTAAAAAATATAGTTTTATACTCTCAAACAAAATACATTTTCCCACATTTCAATACATTCTTGACGAATTCATATGAAAATATTCAACAAACTAGATTTTAAAACTGATTTCATCATAATTTCATAATTATTAAACTAAATTTAATTTTCAAAAAGAAGAAAACAAAAGACTTTTCCTTTCTTTTCTTATCAAAAAATTTCTTTCTCGTCAAGATTTAGTCGATTTTTGTCATTGAATTCCATCAGTAAGGCTTGACTTTTTCTTTTATTTGTCGATTTTTATTCAAAAAAACAAATTTCGTTCATATAATTATTTCAATTTTTTTTATTTGATAATTGTCACAATCAGCAACGTAAAGATTTCCTTCATCATTAAAATATAAACCACGGGGATAATTCAATTGATTTGATTGATTTCCTTTACCATTCCCACCAACAACAATTTCACCTTCTTCTTCTCCTTCACACCAACGCATTACTCGATGATTCCCCCAATCTGCCACATAGATCTGACCCAAATCATCAACAATTACCCCTTGAGGACAAAAGAATTGCTTGAGGTTTTCTCCTCGACCATTTCCTCCAGCCACAACTGTTCCTTCTTTTGCATCTTTTCTCCATTTCATCACACGATTATTATGTCTATCTGATACATAAACAGACTGATCTTCATCAACAAAAATAAAACTAGGAGTATTTAGTTGATTGAGTTGATCACCTTTTCCATTTCCACCTGCCACTACAATTCCTTCATTGTTATATTCTCCCATTTTCCATCGTTTCACTTCATTCTTCTCAGTATCAGAAACATAAAGAAATCCATGTTTATCCATTGCTAAGCAAGAACAATGAATGTTTTCAGTGAGAACTTGTTGATTTTGATTCAACCATTGAATAACTCTGCTGTTCCCTTGATCAGCAATAATGACTGCATGATTTTGTTGATCAACAATTACATCTGTTGGTCGATTCAATTGATCCATACGATTTCCTCTGCCATTTCCACCTGCAATGATTTGTCCTTTCTTTGCATTACATTTCCATTCAACAATACGATTATT